AAATAATTGTAGAAGAATTGTAGAACTTGTCTTTCGTTCGAGTCTTTCTACAATATTCCAACGTGTAAATAGCAGATAAATGGTCACTAAAACAGGTAAATGACCGTAATATATAAACTATTCAATGCTTTAGTTAGACGACAGGTTATAATTTATAACTATCTCTAAAGTATTTATCATAATTTACAGCTAATTCGTCAATATCTATAGAAGTTTTGTATCAATTCTATCAATTGTTAGAACCTTCATTTATCTTATATATAAAAGCTTGTCATCCGTTTTACATATATATATATATATATATATATATATATATGTATAATTTATAATTTATTAATACATTATATTTCTAAATTATTAATACATTATAAATATAATCGATATTGAAAATAGATAAAATATATCTGTATAAATGGATATTTTTCATATTAAAGAAATTATAATACTGAGAGATAAGATTGAAGATATTTTTTTTAAATGGCAAAAAAAGAAAAAAGATAAATGAAATAATAAATAGGAAAGAAAAATTATTTCTATTGTTCGTAATAAAATTTCTTTTTGATAAGATATCAGATATAAAGTTCAAAAGATATTGAATATACTTTGTAAAATCATTTATCATATTTACTTCAATGATTTTGTTTCGATATACAGCTATATTTTTTCATTACATCCAATTAATTCATTATTACGCTATTTTATCATTAATATTGGATCATTCAGAAAGTTCATGTCAATTATCGTTAGGTGGTATAATGACATGTCTAAATATATCAGAAATTGATTGAAAACAATGCTTACATATTCTAAAAGACGATACTTTAAGCATATTTGAAAAAATAAAAAATGTTGATTACGATTACGATTAATTTTTATCAGTTTTATACGCCTTTAAATATGAAAGAAAACAAAGTGCATTTTAAGCATTTAATATTTTTCTTTTATCGGAAAGACAAAAATTCCACATAAACGGCAAACAATATATGTGCTGTTTATGGCGAAGATGTTGTAACTGAAAGAACACTACGGAAATACAACGAGGAGACAACATTTTTTGAAGCAAATAGTTAAAGGGATGGGGGATGAAAAATGAATCATTTATAATAATATTGAGTGAAAAAGATCTCGAAGAAAACAGAATGAATCACTTTTAATCATCCCAAAAATCAGTCTTCATTCAAAGAATGTCATATCTATTCGCATGTTTGATGTAATTGAAAAGGGATTCTGAGCTTTTATCAAACAACGAGACGATAAATTCAAAAAAGTATTATTTCCAATTAAACGAATTAAAGACAGCAATTGAACAAAAACATTCAGAAATAGCAGAATGAGAAGGGCCATCATGTTTCATCAGGACAAATAAAATGAATATTGAATAACGTATATAAAATTGTATAAAAAATAGAAATTAGAAATTAGAATAAATATTAATAAATAAATACGCTTACATATTATAAATAATAATGATATGTAATATAAATTATACACACGCGATATCTAATATATATTAATAATTATCTTATCTCAATTAATTCTAATCTGAAACGACGAACGTCAAGCGGTATTTGTATATAGATTAAAAAAAAAAAAAAAAAAAAAAAAAAAGAAAAGAAAAGAAAACACACACGCGCGCGCACGCGAAAAAAAACAGAAAAAAGGAAGAAAAATATAAAAAAAAAAAACAAAAAAAGAATTTAAGCCCTATCCACCACCTTCCTAGAAATAAATCAAGTAACTTTTTGCATGCTAGATAAAACGTGGGATAGCGATTATCACTGGCGCGAAACTCGCAAAAGTAAGTAAGTAAGTACTTACTTACTTACTTACTTACTTACTTACTTACTTACTTACTTACTTACTTACGTGCCGTGTCCTATCGTTACAATAGTTACTATACTATCTCTCTAAACATTTCGTGCGTATCCTTAACTCTGTTTTTCTTATTGTCAGTGGTACTTGTCCGTTATAGAGGGGGTTCAAGTGGGCGTGGCGAAAGGCGGACCAATTCCCCCCCACTCCTTCGGAATATATGTGTATACACTGAAAGATAACTCGGAGAACTTCGGAAGTTCGTTCGTTTCGACTTAAAGAGTGTGGAAGAGGAGTCGGTTTTCTCCCTTCTCTTTATACCTGTCCTCTCTCCCCCCCCTCCCCGCTCTGCCATCTATTCCTACTCTCCTACCCTCTTCTCGCCCTTCCAACATCCTCCTGTACCCCCTGCCAACCCAATTCCATCCACATATCAACGATTAGAGAAAGAGAATTAATTCTTAGCGACATAACGAAAAGTATGAGATTAATTTTATATCTCTTGATTAAATTCTATCTGTTATATTTTAATTTGCGACAAAACAATATTTCATTGTCAATAATATTTTGCATTTAAATTTACATTAAAAATATTTACATTCACGGATGTATGTTTTAATTTTTCTTTTTATTTTTTTTTTTTCTTTTATATTTTTTAAATATATATTTAAAAAAAAATATATATATATATATATATATTTTTTTTTATTATTGTTATTATTTGTAAGTATGAATTTTTGTTTGTTTTTTTTTTTTTTCTTGTTTTTGGCAACGAGACAAAACATAAAAATAACTTATATGGATTTATCCTTTTCTTATATAGATATATATTTTTGATAAATATAGTTCAAGATGCGTAGACATAAGCAAATAACTTGTAAAAAAGAAAAAAAAGAGGATACTACAATGCATAACTGGAGAAACTATTCGCGACTCGCGACATGCGTTTATATCGGCCATGCGAGCGTAAAAATGGAAAGTCATAAATCTTGAGATTTTCCGTTTGTCGTGTGGCTGCTAAAGCGAGAGACCGGCTTAAATGGCACGTTTATCGGAGCGTTAAATCAAATATCGTTCGCAATACACCATGGTAAAGGTTCATGGTTTATTCCAAGCCAAGTTCAAACGGCACCCGACTAAACTTATCACGAAAATATCGTGAATATCGTATATAGACTTTTATTACAATATAATTATATAGTTTTATATATATATATATATATGATATTATAATTATATATTATATATTACATATTGTAAAATATATAAATAATCTTTAGTAATTATATTACGTAGTTATATAATTTGTATTATATAGTTATATTATACTTTGTATTATATTGTTGTATTATATATGTATTATATGTATTATATAGTTATATTATATAGCTATATTATATCTGTGCGTGTGTGTGTGTGTGTGTGTATGTGCGTTTGTATGTGTATCATTAAATATTATTTATATATTACTTTTATATAATTCATAAGTACTTATATATTATATATTGGATATTTCATATAATGAATATAAATTTTTACGTGAGATAAAATTTTAAATCGGTATCGTCACATTTAAAACAATTATTATTACAGTGTTTTAATTTAATTTAATTTAATTTAATTTTTTTTTTGTTCTTTTTTTTTTTTTTTTTTTTTTTTTTGAAGTAGGAACTCATTCGTCGCAAATGTATTTTGTTATAACGTCATGCATAAATCGTTCAGATTTATAGGAATCATTCGTTTAAATAAATTTGATTAAAAATTGTAATTTTTTATTTGCAAATATTTGGACTACTTAGGTGAGTTTCTCACTCATCGAAAAGGCAGAACACTTTTGAGCACGATTTGAGCAATACTAAAATCATCGTAGGTTTACATAAATTTCTTCTTAAAAGATAAAAAAGAAGGAAAGAAAAAAAAGAAAAGCTCTTCTTTTCGTATACCTTCGTCTTTGTATATATATATATATGTCTATATTCGCATTATGATTTATAGAATTGACTTTCTTATTGAATCTAAATAAAAATTAAGTTTTATAAGTTGTTCTTACAAAAGCTCTGAAAGGTCTCAATGGTGAGGCTGACCTGCAACTTTTCCATAACCATAAGAAATCCTAATAAATTCTAAAATTTCCTGTGAAAGAACAGCACTGTTTGTTTCTTTATAACTTTTATTCCTTCATACTTTCTCTATTATTTTTTTATTTTCATTCTTTAATTTATGATCTGTTCCTCGACTAAGATGAATCGAAACTTATATATATATATATATATATATATATATATATATATGCATATGTAGATATTATATATATACAAATAAATTTTAATTTTAAAAGAAATAAACGAGCAAAGTTAAGTGAAATCGTGAATAATGTTTAAGAACAAGGGAAAAGTTTATCTAAAGTATATGAACTTTTAACAGTTATTAAGATATGTCACATATTATAGCATATATTCGATAAATATGAAAAAATTTAAATAAAGTAAAAATAATTATTCTCCTAATTAATAAATAATTTAAGATATGTCACATATTATAGCATATATTCGATAAATATGAAAAAATTTAAATAAAGTAAAAATAATTATTCTTATATTCTTTAATAATGTAGATAGGTAATTATTGTTATAAAGATTTAACGTGAACTTTTACGTGTGTTTATTTATGATCAATTTTTTATTTAAATCCCCATAAAATGTCCGTCGTTACTGTTCGAAGTCTTTTCATTTTCGAGGATGAAATTTTCATATAGAGAGCCCTTTGAATTTTCTCAAAAATTTTTCCTCCCTTATAATTTAAATAATTTTGTATTAGACATGTATGCATTATATTGCATATAATGATAAATAAGCATAGATAGATACATTTTTAGTGAGATATCGTATATCCCCTTTCCATATACCCCCCGTTCCTTATCCTCACCCGCTCCATCACGTGTTCTGACACTTCAATGCAATTTTTATGCAAAATCATCGGGACAAATGACGTTAGTAAGTACCTATGGATATACATATATATCCATATGTGCCCATATATATCTATATATATATATATATACCTAAGTATCGATTATAACCTAGAATTGTTTCGATTATGATGACGTCGATGGGATGATGTAGATAAGAATGAGTATAAAAAATTGAGATGAATTTTAATGGACGACATATTGTTTGCTTATTTGTCAGCTACTACCAACTACGATACAGAAGAACGATTTTACGTAGGGGAAGGATAATGATCGCTACCGGTGTTGCGGCATCCTTTAAAGTTTGCTTCATCGAAACCCTGACGCAGCAAAAATTTCCGGCGGCTGCTCTTCCCGAAGAAGAAAGAAGAAGAGAAGGAGGAAGATGAGAAGAAGAAGAAGAAGAAGAAGAAGAAGAAGAAGAAAAAAGAGAAGAAGAGAGAAGCTCTGGTAAAAAGGATAGATAAATTTTGAATTGTATTTCTTTTTCTTTTTTTTTTTTCGGCCCTATTTTATTTTTTTTTTTTTCGTTTTTTTCTATATACGTCACGATCTATACGAGAATTCTGAAAATCGTTGCATGTATTACGCGCGGATTTGATTAATATTACCTTAAGTCGTCTTGTAAATACTCGTAATTACGTCGAAATGTTTTCTTTCGTTGCAAAAGGGAAAAAACAAAAAAAAACAAAAAAACACAAAAAAAAAAAGAAAAGAGAAAAAGAAAAACAGAAATGTTCCTATATAGTATTTAAAATTTAATAAGACGATATTGCGATGAGATAAAATAAAAAAAAATTCATTCCATTTTAAATAGTTATATCGACTTTGTTAATCGTAATTCGCGAACGTGAGAAACGATTGCGTAACAATTTGACATTAGAGCAATTATCAAAGAGAACAATTATTATCTTTACGATCTCTGGTAACAACGTTGTAGATATAATTATCTAATTATTAAAGAGTGCGTCGATTTGAAACGTGAAATTGTTATTCTCCTTTTATGTAATACCATCGGTCCGTACATTGTTACGGAGTTTTTCTCCGTGTTACGAATTTAAGATGAAAAAAAAAAAAAAGAGAAAAAAAGTCTTATCAAAAATACGATAGAGAAATAATTATTAAAAAAAAAAAAAAAAAAAAAAAAAAAGAAAAAGAAAAAAAAATTGGATAATAAGAAGATAAATTAATCTTATTCCGTAATAATTGTGTAAACTTTAGTTCTTCTTTCTTCTTGTTTTTTTTTTTCTTTTTATTTATTTATTTTTCTTTTTTTTTTTTTTTTTTTTGATATATTTTAATTAAAAAGAAAATTATCTCGTCGTCATCGTCGTCGTCGTCGTAGTCGTCGTAGTTACGTCTATAATTCATTAAATATCCATCCATCATTTAATGTGTACCTCCTTTTTTTTTCCCCTCTCTTTTTTTTTTTTTTTTATATTCACGCTCGTAAAATATTGTCGCGCATGAAATGAGATTGTATAATATTACTTTCGATGAGAAATAGTTATATCGATCGACTCTATGATCTAACAAAACTGGCATGGCAAACAATAACATCCATCGTACGATGACGTTAAAGCGTTTCAACGAAGAAAAGGCTTTAACGTCGTAAAGTATGGTTTATCGGGAAAGGTAATAAAAAAAAGTTAAGTGAAGAAACAAAACAAAACAAAAGAAAACAAAACGAGAAAAAAAAGAAAAAGAAAAAAAAAAACAAAAATAACGATTCGCTGATTAACGATATTTTTTTCGTTAAATCTCAATTTCTTCGGGAAGTTTGTATAACGATTAACGTAACTATCAAGAAGCGTTCTTAATCGTTATCAACGTAATACAGGTATATGAGTTCTATTATATGATAAAATTTCAAACTGAATGAATATTTTTCTTTTCTTCATTTTTTTCTTTTTCTTTTTCTTCATTCCGTTTTTTTTTCTTTCTTTCAATTAATAAATAACCACTCGAAAGATGTGTGAACGATTAACAGGCAATTTAACGTTAATTAAATTTCGTCATATAGAAAATTTTTTACGAAAGTATAAAAATAATGGAAAGAAGGGTAAGAGGGAAAGGATGAAAAATTTGAAAGTTTAGGATTCTTGATAGGCATATAGAATTAATTACATATATGCGAATAGATTTTATAGATAAGTATATGTAAGTAGGTAAGTTAATGTAAATAGATTATATGTAAGTACATATAAATAAGTAGGTATATGTAATTGGAATTTAGATAGGTATATATGATTAAGTGGATATATGTAAATTAATTTTTTAGGTAAATATATATATATATAAACAAGTTCTAAGTAGATTTTATATGTAATTAATAGATAAATAATATTTGTCTGGTTAAAATGAAAAATCAATGGATAGGATGAAATGTCTTTTCTGAATTATGATGGCATAGTAACCTACATAGTTTGGCAAAATTTTCTCTTCTTTTTCCTTCGTTTAAAGTCGAAATTCGGTTTGTATTTTAACAATAGGGGAATTCAGTAAGTAGGTCACCAGTGCCAAGGACAAGTTTCCTGTGAATTTATGGAATAGAGAAGGACCGAATACTTTAACTCGAAAGAAACGAAAAGAGAAAAAGGAAGAGAGAGAGAGAGAGAGAGAGAGAGAGAGAGAGAGAGAGAGAGAGAAAGAGATTTACTCGTAAATTTTATTTTCTGAGACACTAATAGTTATTTCATGGTATTCGTGTAACATCTTTCACTGGAAATTGTGAAAAAAAATACAAAGGTACTCTACTACTGTTCATATTTTATATTGCGACTTAAAAAAAGTTGCCGTAAAACCAGTCGAAAAATTTTTTTTAACTGAAAAGAATCGAACACCAAACGACGCGACAGAAGAAGAAGAAGAAGAAGAAGAAAAGAAAGGAGAAACAAAAAAAAAAGAAAAAAAAAGAAAAAGAAAAAGAAATAAAAAAGAAGGAGATAAAGATGTCTCGCGATAAAAATAAATTCTCTTTCGGAGAAAAGTGGAAGTACGGTGCGTGGGTAGATAAAGGAGAGATGATAAAAATTAAATAAAAAAAAAAAAAAAAAAAAAAAAAAAAAAAGGAAAAGAGAAAAAAGAGAAAAGTAAAAAAAGGAAAAGAGATGGAAAAAAGCAAAATAGAAGAATTAGGGAAGCCTACCTACTCCAATTTCATACACAGTTTTCTACTGGCTCCTGTTCGAATTTGTCGCCTCGTTCACGGCTATCCTTCTCCGGGTACAGCTGTTTAACCAGCTGTAACGCGTCACACCTCCCCCGTGTTCTCTGGTGCGTCCCTCCTTCTACCCTCGCCGACCTCTTCACATCGATTTCTTTCTCTCTCTCTCTCTCTCTCTCTCTCTCTCTCTCTTTCTCTCTACCTCTCTATGTATCTATCTCTATCTCTCTTCCTCCACTCGACGGAATTTTTTCACAAAAGGCACGTGTGCATTGATAATTCGATGGGCGTTCCGTGACCATTCCTCTCACTTTCTCTCTGTCTCTTCCTCTCTCTTCCTCTCTCTCTCTCTCTCTCTTTCTCTCTCTCTCGATCTCGATCTCGATCTCTCTTCTTCAATCACAGTAATTTATAAAATATTATTTATAACTATAATAGATTAAATAACGTGTATATATTTATTTTCAAGATTAGATCGAAATATTATTGATAGGGTTCATGTATAATTCTTATATTATTTTATATTATTTTATTGAAAAAATTATTGTGACACTAAATGATAAATCCGATATACAATAATAATAATAATAATAATAATAATAATAATAATAATAATAATAATAATGATTAATGATAATTAAATATTATTATGCGATAAGAATAAGAGAAAAAAATAATACAAAAATTAAACTATAAGAAAATATGATTGTAAAAGAAGTAATACGAAGATAAAAATTTGTTATCTTTTATATATTTATTTTTTGTAATATATATATATGTATATATATATATATATATATATATATACATTTTATTTTCTTAGCATTTATTGATCAACAAATAGAATCGTCACATATGTCATTTTTCTTTTTTTTTTTAAACAGATTCTAATAAAAAAGGAAAATAAATAAATAAAAAGAAAAGAAAAGATATGAAAGATCGATATCGTTCGTTTTGTTCTCGTTCTTTTATAGATCATTCAGAAGATTTTTCATTTGGGTTCATTTTAGGTTCGTCAAAGTTTAAAGAATTCTAACGTTTAGAACTAACATTAGTAGAAATACCAGTAGCATACGCGATCCTATCGCGTGAGAACTTACATCTCATTGTACATAAAAGAAGATCGTCCATCGTAGTAGGTGTCCACTGTTGTTCCTCATGACAGGTCTTAAAAGTGAAAAGGTTTCGGAAGTTAAAACTTATCGATAAGTAGTACGGACACGTACTCACGCGCCTATTTAGCACTTTTCAAGAAAATTTAAAGCCAGTGGGTCTTTGGGTCGAGTGGCTCCTACGAAGTTTCCCAATGCCATTTCGAAGTCGAGTATAATGGGGGAGGAAAAAAAACATAATGAAAGACGAAAGTAAACAGTAAGCACAACAGTGAAAGATGGTTAAAAAGAAGAAAAAAGAGAAGCAGAAAGAAAGAGAGAGAGAGAGAGAGAGAGAGAGAGACTCGTAAATATCCAGTAGTTTAACAAGAAGGTGAAACGTGTGCCACCGTATGAACGAATTTAAGTTTTAGAATGATTTACGAGAAGACATGAGGTGACTTCTGTTCGGGCACGCGACCAACTATTAAGATAGACAGAAAGAGAGAGAGAGAGAGAGAGAGAGAGAGAGAGAGAGAGCGAGAGAGAAAGTATAAGGAACGATAGATAGATAGATAGATAAATATAACTGGAAAAAAAGAGAAATGATCTTAGAAAAAGGACCACCTCCTGATTCGGTTGACCTGAGTAACTTTGAGACCTAGAGACCTAGAGAAGGAACAATTGAAAGGATATACGACCCGACCGAGTATACTGTTCACGACTTCTTTCACGAAATCTTTAATACTTTTTCAAATAATATGTTTGTAAGTAATTGACGTCTTTCGCGTGCCAACTTTCTTCGTTTTTTTTTTTGTCGAAAGATAAAAAAAATATATATATATTTATATTATATCATTAAAGATATATATATATATATATCATTAACGAAAGGTCAAGATTATACACACACACATACACACACTATTCTTTTATTCATTATTATATTATAGAGGTATATATTATATATATATTTCTATTTATTATTACATATATAATAATATATATATATATATATATATATATAATATGTATATATATAATAATAATAATAATAATGTTATATGTATATAATAATAAATAGAAGTATATATATATAATATATATGTATGTGTGTGATGTTGATCCTTTTGTTAAAGTTCAATGAGCAAATAATACGTAATTGTTGCCACGTTTGATAATTTATCGATGTGAAATATAACTTATCGATATAATTATTTTACTTTTTTGAAATATAACATTAATTATAATTTTTGCATTTCTTTTAGATTAACAATCTATTCCATGTTCAATAATCATTGATATATTCTATTATGAAATCCATGGCTATTCGTATTATTATTTTAATTTTTTTCCTTTTTCGTTTTGTTTTTCTCTCTTTTTTATTTTTTTATTTTTCTTTTTTGTTTTTTTAATTAAACAACTTTTAATCTACAAACAATAAATGAATGCGAACTAGTCGAACGAATTTTTTCTTATTAATGTTATTCTATCGTGAGGATCGTTTGAGAAACGGTGTGAAAACGTGAGCCTAGTGACTACTGGTGGTAATTCTTTTTCTTTTTGTTTTTTCTTTTTTTTTTTTTTTTTGTTTTTTTTTCTTTTTTCAGAGCGTCAAATACAACCGATCGTAAATTAAAAAGTTATTAG